CGTTATTTCGCAATTTCGATCTTTTGTAAACCTGGGATGATGTATCAAGGTCTAAAGTAAACGTTTTATCAATTTTTGAAAAACCAAGAAAAAAGTGAAAATTTCCCTTCTCGCTACCTTAATGATTGTTAATGCGATTCTTGGTTGATTAGGTTAAAGGTCAACGTGTGGTTACCAAACTTTGTTCTGATTCAGTTGAGTGATCAAAAACTTTTAATTATTTTAACTATTAATGTTTTTCTCAACAGTTAACTACAGTATCATTTGATTTTTAGGATGCTGTTGAAAATGGACTGAAGGGTGCGAATCACATTCCATGTACTCTTTGTGGAGTTAAAAACCCACGTACCAAGGTAGTGTACTATTGTAACAGCAAGAGACAACTTCTCACTAATTGGGGAAATCATCAGACAGAGGGTCACCGTGACTTTTGTAGCAGTGAACATTTCACTGTGGTCCTTAAGACAGGGAGTCACATTAACTTTTGTGACAGTGAACATTTCATTGTGGTCCTTGAGACAGGGAGTCACCGTGACTTTTGTAGCAGTGAACATTTCATTGTGGTCCTTAAGACAGGGAGTCGCAGTAACTTTTGTAGCAGTGAACATTTCATTGTGGTCCTTGAGACAGGGAGTCACAGTAACTTTTGTAGCAGTGAACATTTCATTGTGGTCCTTAAGACAGGAAGTCACACTAATTTTTGTAGCAGTGAACATTTCATTGTGGTCCTTGAGACAGGGAGTCACTGTGACTTTTGTAGCAGTGAACATTTCATTGTGGTCCTTGAGACAGGGAGTCACAGTAACTTTTGTAGCAGTGAACATTTAATTGTGGTCCTTGAGACAGGGAGTCACAGTAACTTTTGTAGTAGTAAACATTTCACTGTGGTCCTTAAGACAGGAAGTCACACTAATTTTTGTAGCAGTGAACATTTCATTGTGGTCCTTGAGACAGGGAGTCACCGTGACTTTTGTAGCAGTGAACATTTCATTGTGGTCCTTGAGACAGGGAGTCACAGTAACTTTTGTAGCAGTGAACATTTCACTGTGGTCCTTGACAGGGAGTCACATTAACTTTTGTAGCAGTGAACATTTCATTGTGGTCCTTGAGACAGGGAGTCACAGTAACTTTTGTAGTAGTAAACATTTCACTGTGGTCCTTAAGACAGGAAGTCACACTAATTTTTGTAGCAGTGAACATTTCATTGTGGTCCTTGAGACAGGGAGTCACAGTAACTTTTGTAGCAGTGAACATTTCACTGTGGTACTTGACAGGGAGTCACAGTAACTTTTGTAGCAGTGAACATTTCATTGTGGTCCTTGAGACAGGGAGTCACAGTAACTTTTGTAGTAGTAAACATTTCACTGTGGTCCTTAAGACAGGGAGTCACAGTAACTTTTGTAGCAGTGAACATTTCACTGTGGTCCTTGACAGGGAGTCACATTAACTTTTGTAGCAGTGAACATTTCATTGTGGTCCTTGAGACAGGGAGTCACAGTAACTTTTGTAGCAGTGAACATTTCATTGTGGTCCTTGAGACAGGGAGTCACAGTAACTTTTGTAGCAGTGAACATTTCATTGTGGTCCTTGAGACAGGGAGTCACAGTAACTTTTGTAGCAGTGAACATTTCGCTATGGCCCTCGAGACAGCAAGTCACGGTTACTTTTTATGAGAATTCTTGTGATTCATTTGTCAAAAAAAAACTTTTAATAACTACATGTATAATAATAATATTTATTAAGCCTTCGGAACGACAACAAAATAAAAGAAGAAACGAAAAAAACATGCATATCTGAAACTGAATAAAAATAAAAGTAAAATTGACAATAGATCTCATGGTGAATTCACACTACTTTCATTTCTGTGTTTACAAAGATGTTTAAGAAATTTTCGTACCTCTTTAAAAACAATGTCTCCCAACTCATAATTCATATTCCATGGAATGTCACCAAAAAGCAAATTAAACTTGTAATTGCAGCTAAAGTTTAGAAGCATACTTTATGTTACATGGTTAATATTTTCTAATCAAAACAAAACTCGCCTGTGAAATTGTTTATGGTTATTATAAATCTATATTATTCCCTATGATGTTATGAACTTCTCATTTTATTCCTAGCAAACAGCTAAGAATCGCTCTAAGAAACACATAGAAACTATAAAACACATTAGTTGTGTACGCATTGCAATGGCTGTTACTGGTATTGGGAGGGCAGCACAACAACAAAATGGATGGAAAATAAGTTTATTCATAAAGGTAAGATTTATTATATACTGGTATGTATAATAAATAAAGTAAACATTTTTTTATAGGTGTAGCCAGTTATTCAGACTGTTCATACCATTTTTATGTCATACGTAGGAGTAATGAAAAGAGCTCTTTAATTCCTGGTTCCTGATTTGGTAACGTTTGTGCATTGATTGTTTGTTCACTTGTGCATATTGCGTGACCTGGGGTCAACAAACCAGAAGACAGGACAGATTTTGAGCGTTCTGAATACAGAGTCGCAGTGCGGGGAACATCAATATTTCCAACTCGCAACGTAAAAATTCCCCTGAAATAAAACTGCCATCATCTTTCAACTACCGGGGTAACTCGTACCAGCCTTTGAAAATTAAAATTTGCACACTATTCTGCCTAAGCAAGAATAACGATCATGCAAATCATCTTTGGCAATGGCTAATATTTTTATATTTTTTGCGAGTATTTTGGTAGTTAAAAAACATGGTCATATTTACTCTGTAAAACACACACATACTATTTCAGTTCATTTTCTCTGAAAAAGCATCTTTTTTTAACTGGAAATCCATGTTTCTCAGATGTCTTAAATAGTTTTTCTAGCTGCCTTTGTTTGTACCCCCAATCCACACTCATTCTGCTATTTTGAAAAAACTGTTTCAAATATGTCGCTGACTTTTTCCGGGGTGCATGTCTGTTGGTGTTCTGTTGACTTTGCATATTTTTGTTCTGCCCTTACCCGTTGCTAGCAAGGTTGTGCATGTGCAAGTAGAATTATATTGCGTCTGATGGTAATTTGGTAATTACTCTGTCTGATCACATGCGTGTCAGATCACAGATATCAGTTTGTACGATTGGAAGTTTAATTAAAAATAAATGGATTTCATATTTGTTCTATTGCAAGCGCATTTAAACCATGTTTTTTATTGTAAATCGTTGCTTTTATTCGACAAGCGTATAACCATTGACACCTGTGTCATTCACATCCATGCATTCCCTAATAATAGAGCAAATTGTGAAAAGATATATAAATCTGTTTTCTAGAAATATGAAAGATTGCTGTTTGAAACAGAGAACAATTCATTAACACAGAAATGCAAAATATGTGACTTGGATAATGTAAGTATCAGTTTCCACAATATTTTTTTGGATATAACTATACGTGTTACATGTTTGCTAGAATTGATATGTTAAATACTAAGATTTTCTAGTAAAAAAAAATCACTTTGGATGTTTTAGCTTTGTAAAGATTTTGCCAAATTTTATTTTGCTTTTTTTGTTTGTGCAGACAAAACAACAATAAACAAATATTAGCTGCAATTCGAGGGGTATTTGTTGATTTGACAAATTTTCATATACCCCAAATTTTGCAATTAATAATTGCTTTGTGATTTCAAATTCTGGAGTTTCTGGAATTTCGTGTGGTAGTTATGAATGTCTGTGATCTCAGCAGCAGATTTAGCAGGAAATATTTTTTGTATTTTTACCGTTAATGTGTTTGTTGTCATATAATCATCTGCTGACCCAGCTGCCGGCCTGGTTGGGTTTGTTTACAAAATTAGTTTCATTTGCATTGTCATAAAACCAACAATTCTGCGCAGAAAAAATCTGGGCTGCCACAAGTGAAATATTGACATGGTTTTCTGCATCCATGCGACTTTGTCGAGCGGAGCTTATCATATGATATGAGTGATTGTCAGTCGTCGTCCGTGTCAATATTTTACTTTTTCGATTTCTTCTTGACAACTACAAGCCTGAATGCTTTGATACTTGGTGTATATGTACCTTGGGTAGACCTCTCTTAGTAAAAAGTGATATTTTTGACTTCTTGTTGAAAACCACAAGTCCAATTGCTTTGATATTACATATATAGGTACTACATGTGGACCTCTCTCAGATTTGTTCATTTTGTAATGATATCTTTGATTCTCTAATTTTGGTGAATATTTTTGTCATTTTTGGTAAAAAGTGATATTTTCGACTTCTTGTTGAAAACAGCAAGTCCAATTGCTTTTATATTACATATATACATACTACATGTGGACCTCTCTCAGATTTGTTCATTTTGTAATGATATCTTCAATTTTCAAATTTTGGTGAATATTTTTGTCATTTTTGGTAAAAAGTGATATTTTCGACTTCTTGTTAAAAACCTCTAGTCCAATTGCTTTGATATTACATATATAGGTACTACATGTGGTTCTAACTCAGATTTGTTCATTTCACGATGATATCTTTAATTCTCTAATTTTGATGAATATTTTTGTAATTTTTGGTAAAAAGTGATATTTTCCACATCTTGTTGAAAACCACAAGTCTGATTGTTTTGATACTATACATATTGTTCATTTTTTAATGATACTTTCTGTTCTTTAATTGAAATGTGCATTGCTAACAGCGGAGCTATCTCAGTCGAGAAGCTGCTTGTTTTTTAAATTGTCGAAGTAATTAAGTTTGCAAATCTTTCCTCACTTGGACTTTCGAAATATTGCATTTTGATGCCCATTTTTGCTGGGAAAGGATTGACCAGCTTTGTTATTAGTCCAAGAAAATTGTTCAGCTTGGAATGTGTCTGAATCCCTCATTAGTATGCAAGAATGTAGGAATGTACCAAGAAAATTGTTTTTCTGGAGTAAATTGTAGCATATTTTACTTATGAAAGGTCAACAAGTGCATGGAAATTGTATTATTATTGTGAACACACTAGACAACACTGTGTTTGCATGGTTGGTTCTACATGCAGTCATCATAAGAGTGGAATGTTTGTATCAAGTGCATGAACTGAGGGTTATATGTGATTTAATCTATTTTTCAAACCAATTTGGCATACTATAACATAAAAGATGGCAATAATAAACTACCTATGCCTTGTGTTGTGGTGTGCATATTTACCATACTTACTCGGCTTAATGCCTATGCTGGTTCAACATAAATAAGTACATGTACTCTACTGTAATTAAAAAAATGTCCTCTTTCAGGGTTGGATTCCATATGGTTTGTTTGTCACAGTACCAGCTTTCCATTATACAACATTGCACCATAACCTCATCCGATACTACTTAGAAGAACTAGTTTTACAACTTCAACCACTTAAAGAAGTGGATTTTGTCAAACAATTAAAACTGCCAGTTCTGAAGGAGGTGAACACAGTTGCCGTGGTGAATGAGGAATCTTCTGATGAAGAAAAAGTCCACCCAAAAATAAAAAATCCAGTGGGTAAGGGAACATTTAATTATCTAATTGCTATGATGTTTGCCATGCAGATAAAATATAATATTAAGTACATGTATATTAAGCTAACACCTGTTATCACTTGTTCCGTAGAGCAGGTTAATACGAGTAATGTCATAGGCTAATATTATCCATAAACTAAAGATTAGTGGATAATAAAGTTATGTATGAACGTTTTTGGTAAATACATTGTAAATTATAGAACGTTGATGGTGTCCATTTTGTTTTAACAAATGCTTTTTTTCAAACTTTATATTAAACATCATACATTTGTTTATTTGGTGATCGGATTCAAGATGGCCGATTGGTGGCCATTTTAATATTAAAAATTCACAAATACAGTATTCCTCAACTTTGGCAGCCTGTATGTATGTATGTATAAAATAAACTGTACAATAATGTTTTGATTTATTCTTTATTTTAGGTCCACAGTTCATCGAGACTCATTATTTGTGTATAATATGTGATCAGCTTATGACAGATAAGACCACAGCCTTTGGTGAACATTGCCAGACAAAAGATCATGTCAAAGCAGTTGAGGTATATATTATATTAGACTTCTGCTGCTGTATCTCCATAAGTTGCAGCATGATGTAATTTGAGATAATGCATGGGGTATTTTACGTGATATAGTGCA